TGAACGATTGTGCTTGAGCCGAAACTTGAACTACAAAAGGTTGAGATGAAAAAAGCAAGTGTTTACTATATTACTTTGGGGAAAAGTCATAAAGCCCATTAATTGAGAGAGAAAAATAATTGGTGAGTGACACCTTAAGAGGGGAATATTTGGTTAGGGGAAGTGAGGTAAGAATTTTTATTCTAATAAATTGTACAAAGATTGTTCTTCAAAATGTCGCAATCATCCGATCATGGAGACGAAGAATTAGAGCAAGAGTCACCCATGGAACAAGCTAAGTGAGAGACTGTAGTGACCTTGATGAATAAGATTAAAGAAATGTCTTTACAGATAAAGGAGTTGCAGACAGACGTATGGACACCGGATAGAAGAAACCACAACCATGAAGAAGGACGTGAAGATAATACCGTTCATCAAGTTAGAAATCAAAGAGGCGATAATCCAAATAATCTATATGACTTTGGAAATATGAAGATAAAGATATCGGAATTTCGTGGTACTAATGATTCCGATGCGTATCTTGGATGGGAGAAAAGGATCGAATGAACATTTTCATTGCAAAACTATTTTTGATCATTTAAGACTTTCTATGATAAAAAATAGACATGACATGTCATAAAATGATCGGACTTTCTATGTCATAAAATGACATGTCACTATTTCTAAATGATCAGACTTTCTATAAACTATTCTTAAATGATCGGACACAAATAACATGTCATAAAAACAGAGAACAAAGTTGCATCTCATAAAATGGAAAAAATAGAAGGTAAGATCCCACGTTACACTGTAAAAAATTGATTGCCACATAATCAAACAGTTTATACTAATCTATATAATATACAAATGCAAAACCTGGAAAGAGAAACCTAAATAGTTTTCGTGACGCCAACTAAGCAAAATTCCTACTTAGCACTTTGACAATTTCTTCAAGCATTATTTCACCCAAAAATATCTCCCTATGATAGGTTTAAACCAAGTAACCTGACCTTGATTTACTTGTAAAGTTAATGTAAGAAAATTGTATCACATCTAAAAAGAATTTGATTTTGATTTGATATCGTATAATCTATAGTCAATAAATCAAATATGAAACTGAATTGCTATTGTTGATTCTTTAGAAATTAGAACTGAATTGATTTGATTATGCAGTTGTCATTTTGATTATCTTGATGTAATCTTAATCCATTTTTACAATGGGAGTGATTATCTTCTCAAACCAACCCCCTACTCAATTTCAAAAAAGGACTTCAAAAGATTCTCTGCCAACTTTTGTGTCTTTTAATCGAAGTATTCTCCTCAAATGCCAACCATTAAAGAGGCAATCTTCAATTTTGAGTGTAGATGATGAGATTGAGTTGTTGGTGATCACGGTGTTGTCGCTGAATTTTGGAGTATATGCACATCGGATGGTTTTAAGTTTCCGTAAATGAGCAATAATAATGGATGGTGGTAACTTTTTGCACCCCTCATTGTGGATTTTAAGAGTTTATAGTCCAATGGAATAAGTCCAAAGGAACATTAAGGGATTAAATATTTGTTGTTATATTATTGAGAGCCTAAAAAGGGATTTTAATTTGACCAAAAAAAAAAGGGATTTTAAGATTCTGGCATAGAAGCGAGGACAACAAAAGCTGAATAAACAACTTGCAGGACAAGTACATGATCAGAAAAGATTGTGTAACCAATATTATAGTCTCCACATTGTGTAACCTTAATTGGAGCTGCATTCTAGAAAAAATTATTCTAGGTGAAAATATCATACTAACATAAAAAATTGTAAATTTAAAGACTGAAAAAGGTAAATGATCAGATTGCAGTATATGTGCACATTTTGAAGTCCACATCTAAATGTAGATATGATAAAAACATTATGATACAACCATGAACTTGGTGTAACTATTTTGTATCTTGAAGTTATAGCCTTTACTTGATGTAATTAGTTTACTTAAAAACTATTACTACCATAGTTACCTGCCATGAATTTTATTCGGTGCATTGGATATTTTTGTTGAGATTAAAAATCTAGAACACTAAAGATTTATTTTTTGACTTTTAACAATGATTTATTTTTCTTCATTTGCATTTTGGAAGGAGGGCCGGATTCCTCAATTTCAAAATTAACGATAATATAGATGGGCAATCAGTTGTGACGATTGATCATCCAAATGGGTACTAATAATACATGTTATTATAGACTCAAAATTGAATTTTTGTTGATTTTTTATTGTTTTTTTTTTCTTGATTGATAATGCATGTTATAGATTTGCATTTGCGGGGAAAGAGTGAAAAAAATGGTAGAAATTAAAATTTCCACAACAAATGTGAAGGCAAGATAAATACATTCTGATCAAGGTTTTTGTACCGACAGATTTGGCAAATGAATACTCAACTCCACACTTTGATTGGCCTCTTCTTCAATAAGCAAAAAAGGGAGCATATTAGGAGCAGCGAGACTTTTTCCTCATCCAATGGGTAAACAATCGGAGGAAGCCTCTTAAAAAAAAAATTCATTAAGTGGGTTTATTTCTTTCATTTTTATTGATTTACAATTACAATACATATAGTTGCTACAATAACCTACAATGTTATCAATCCAACTTTATTGTTTCATACGTTTTTCACATCCAATAAACTCGAACTTGTCAATCTTTGGTACTGATAATAGAAATCATTTTATTTAAAACATCAATAAAAATTCAATATACTTAAATAATAAAGAATGTAAAAATACTCTTGGATATTTTCGTTACTAACCATGTGACGAGTATCACCCTCAGGGTGATTGAAAAGGAAATCGGCAATATCTAAAGAAGTAAAATCAGTGAAACCATTATCAACAGGACTATGGTAAAATCCAACATTGTTATTAATAAAATTAGTCTCTATCTTCTTTTCTTATTTTTTCATTGATTTTTGATAGAGATCGGCAAGATGTTTGGCGTACGACAGACACGGGACCAATGATATTTCATGTCACAACAGTAACATTTGCTCCCACCTTTCTTTTTATTTACATCTTTCTTACTGCTAGTTCCCAACTTCTGGTGGAAAGTAGTATTTTTTGTTTTGACCATCACGATAGTTAAAACTGTTTTCACCATATCCTCGGCCACGACCACGACTATCATACTCTCTATTTTGTCCATTATTTTGATTTATAGCTTCCACATTTGCTCAGGAAATGGAGCAGCATCAATCGGGGTGAGTCTGATGATTTTTCAATAAAAAGCGCATTATTTTGTTCAGCAACAAGCAGAACATGTAGCAGCTTAAAATATTTTATGTACCTCGTTTCACGATATTGCTGCATGAGGAGCACATTTATAAAGTGAAAAAGTGGAGTGGAGTATGTTTTCTCCAACATTAGTACATCACTCATTTCATCACCAGGTAATTTCAAAAGTGATGTGATTCGAAAAACTGTTGAAATGTACTCACTAGGAGATTTAAAATATTGGAAACGTAAGTGCAACCAATCATGACGAGCTCTAGGCAGTTTAATCTTCTTTAGGTGATTATATCTTCCATTTAAACTCGTTCATAAGATAAATGGATCTCCATCAACGGTTAAATATTCCGTTTTTAACTATTCATGAATGAAAGAAACTTGTGGCCTTGATCTTTTCTTGATTTGTGGCCTCGTTACTTTCTTTGATAGTTTCTCCAAGTCCATTTGTATTTTGATGCATTTTGGCATCAAGCACCCATGATAAATATTTGTTTCCCGATCAAGAGTTATAAACTCAAATTTTGCTAAGTTGTTGGCCATGGTAAAAAAATAAAGTAGGCTTTTTGTACTTACCCAAAAAGAGGACTTAAAAAGTTGGCTAGAGCACTTTCGTGCTAATAACATATTGTAAAAGAAATACAAAACATGACAATAGAGAAGAGATGAATGGTCATGAGACTTTTGGGTGTTTTTTTCCATTCATTTTGGCCTTTATTTATAGGCTTATGATCATCGTAAAATGTAGATCACGTTAACTCTATACTTACAAAGATTACATAGGTGACTGTAAATAAGATATAAAACTTTAAAGACAACTTAATACAACATCCACAAATTAATATACTTCATAACATTTGTGTATTTTAAGTTCAATTTCTAAGACACCTTTATAATGACTAGTGGATCGTTACTTAATGATAGATAGTAATAGTTAAAATTGATTAAATATTCTTGATTTAGTGAAAGTGGTAAAGATATATTGGAGTATAATATATATATATATATGTACATACGGAGTATGTGTTAATTAATTATATGAATTGAGACTAAGTTTAATATTATTTCTATTTTTTTATCTGTCGCTTTAGGATTTGCACATGTATTAAGAAAGTAATGATTAATAATATAAAGTGTAAGTATAATACTTTTCTTGCCCCTAATTAAAAATACTGAAACTCTATAAAAATTTGTTATTTGAAGTAAAAGAATATGTAATAGTCATTAATATATGTTATTAAAAGCAGAGATATAAGAGTGAAATTGGAAAAATTACATTGAATGCTGCATTAAAAATAAAGTGTGACAGATTAAAAAAAAATTGAATTCACCCTAAAACGACTGGAAAAAAAATGGAGGTAGTACGTCCTAAAGAATAAAATGAGTGTATTGATTGGAAATGAATACAGTACTTCAAAGAAAACAAATTAGAAAAATGTTAACTTAGGATCAAAATGTTCATAGGTAAGTACACGTTTTTGTAAACGAGTATTCAATTAATACACAAAACTTAAGTAGGGACACAATAACATACATTTACTCACAAAATTTAATTATTTGTTCTTTCCTAGACCTCACCGAAAATATACATCAAAACTAATCAACGAGCACCGGTTATTAAAAATCCAAGTGGCAAAGATTATATTCGTAAAAGAATCATGAAACTGGTCTTAGCCAGAATAATTAATTAAAATGTAATACTTCACTCTGCACAAAATTAAGCTCTTTTTTTTTTAACTTCTTTTTTTTTTTTTTGTATTTCTTTCTTGTGTTAGGGACACTTTGAGTTCCTTCCTGGTCCACCATAGTAAAAATAATTCCCCCAAACATCATTTTTTCCTGCTTTGATATCATAACAATTAGGATGATCAGCCAAGAGATGAAGATTATTCAGGGGTATTAAGTTGTTGTCCCAATCAACAACTTGTAAGTTCCTGAAGTATGAAGCTTTTCCAAACCCTTCATCTGCAAAATGACCACTTCCCATTTGTGTGGATGTGTGAAATCCCATTGATGACCCTGTGTTGACTATTTCTCCACCAAATTGAACCATGCTTGCATGGCTTTGTAGATGGGTAAATAAGAATGAAGGCCAGTACCCTACTAATAAACCTGGTCCTAATTCAAGCCACCAATGTCCATGCTTAGGGTCCTATAAGCATAAAGCAAAATAAAATATCATGAGTTCCATATTTTTGGACAGTTTGTACCCCAGTTTATACCCTTCGGTATGATACAGATGAAAACAAGCAACATAATCGTCTTACAATATGTTTTCCGTTAAATAATTTGTATAGTTAGCAATTTAATGACGCTTGAGTCGTTTCCCTATCGCAAATTCATTTATGGCTACAGGCTACTAAGTTTTGAACTTTTAATATTCATAGATTAATTTGTCACTTTGCTTGTCCAAAACTCGGAAACCGAGTAGGTTCATTTTTTTACGCATTCTTGTTTTTGGTCAACTAAGGTATTACTGAATTCAAAGCAGCTAAGGTGTGGTGGAGATAAACAAATAGCCAGAACTATAGCAATTAACTTCAAAAGCCAGTTGTGCACAAACTTAAAAATGCAGTTAATTTATATAAATAGAGAGAGAGAGAGAGACTGGTTAAGCAATAAAAAAGGGAAAATCTTGAATCCAAGATTCCCTCAGTTGCGTAATCAAATACTACCAAAGAACAGATAGAAAACACCGGTATAAATTCAACTGTCTGAGTCAATCATACAGTGTCAAAACCAATCCATTCAGATAGAAGTGGACTATTAAGGGCTTAAAGAAATAAGTACTCGTTCGGCCATCTGTTCCAAAATTATTATCCGGATTAAAAATTTCAGTTTTAGTACAATTTGAACGAAAAATAAAAAATTAAACTGTATTATAATTTCGGGACGGAAAGAATAGTTACTAGCTAAGTATTTAGTGGTAGGTTGTAAGTCAAACACGATTATCTGTCTTGGAAGATACAGAGTTGATACACAATAAATAAGCGAGACAAAACTCAGATCTCGAAAGGGGTGAATACACATACCTTCCACATCATGACTCCAATATCGTATTGTTTACTACTGTAAGATGATCTTGGAGAGATTGCCGCCCCCATGGAAATTCTGTTGTTAGTTTGCACAAATCCAGAACACAATAAGTTGTAGCATCCAGTTGCTTGGTATGCATCTGTCTGCAAATTTAAGGCCACAAAAGCATATTAATTGGCTCTGGATATCCAGCAAAAATTTAACTACACATCACAAATAAAAGAATTGAAACTAATTGATACTCACTGTCCAATATGTGAAGAATCTAGGATAATTATCTCCATACAGCTCTGGACTGACCTGAGAAATAACAGCAGTTTCGAAAACTTCAGATACTGTTCATGTAGTCATTCTCTTTCTTCTTGAAGATTGGTTTGTGAGTTTGACTTACCTGCCAACCAGCTTCAATGGTGTTAAGATCATTTCCAAAACTGCCTGAAATTATCCATACTTGTGAGAGACTAAATTCATATTCATTTGTTACTTGGGGTGTCCACACATTGATGCTGGCTTTTGCTCCATAATACTGATCTCCATTGACAAAAGCCACTGCATGCTACATTGAGACAAATGCCGGAAAAAAGAAAGACCAAAAACTCTCATCAGACGTCAGAACAAATTAGTACTCATAAAAACTTGCCTAATTCTCTGTATCTGTTGCACCCATTGTTCAGTGACTTTCAAAATTCTAATTGAGCTGAAAATCTTAACTGACACACAATCAGTTGTTTTGGGATACATATTAGAAAGGGCGTCTTTTGCTGGATTCAATAACCATTTGGAATTGAGAAGAGAAAACAGAGGACATGATGGGGGTGGAATTATTCCATATCTCATCTGTCAACCCCTTTTTTCTTTACTGAATCTGAAGTAATATCTTAATTTAGATCTACCCCAAGAAATCAACACATTTCATTTGTCGAAATCAAAACTGATGTTTAATAAATGTTCATGAATCTACCTCATGATCACTGCTCATTGTATCATGGCGCATTCTTCGAATTTTCCGACCAAATCTGCGCCAGGAGCTAGCTCTCAGGACATCTTTCTCTGTAGTTCTTCTAATTGGTATGCTTCCTTCTGGGCAGGATTCACCAGAAATAGCCCATAATTGAATGCTCTCTGTTGCATTACCAAAGTACTCATGACCTTTAGGCCTCTCTGATGGTTCCTGCATTTCCAAAATTTAGATTAATGAATGAACACCAATGAGGAAGAACATAGAAGAAATTGAATACAAACATTAATTATGTTACCAATGGCTTCTGCCCTCTTAGCTGAGGATGATCAAAAGCAGGTTGAAGATGAGAAGGAACACAGTCTATCACATCGCCATCAGGACTCTGCAATATCAGTAAAAACAACACAATTCATTCAAGCAACTTAAACATCTCAACATTTAAGAAAATGGGATTTTGAAAAAAATTAATAAAACTATTGCCTGAATTGCCTTGACTGCTGGTTTGTTGATCTTCTTCAAATACTGTCTAATTCTCTTCAGTTTCTGCAACTCATCAACCGGCCGGAGGAAAGTTTGATTTTGTTGAGGATGATGAATGTCACTATTACTTAAGAAATGTGGAGTTGTGGTAGTACTAGAACTAGAGGAGCTAGAACAAGAAGAAAGGAATGATGAGAAAACAACAAATATGAAAATGATTGTTAGATTTTGGTAAGATTTGGAACAAGGAGGAGGAGAAGAAGAAGACATGGTTGTTCTGTCTGTATGCATTTGGAGGTGTTGTTCTCTAGTAGTAGAAGTAAGTTGGTGTTAATGTTATGAGCAAACAGAAACATGGTTTATTCCAAAAGTTTGTCCATGCCAGAAAGAGGACATGTCCTTCAAACAAATTCTAAGAGAATTAGAAACCATCCAAAGGAAAAGTAAACCAATTCACTCCCAAACATTTTTTCTTTTATGTCAATTTTCTTTTTTTTTCTATATAAAATTTCATCACTGAGATTCTTATAGTGTGCTTTGACAAGTGTTTTCTGACACCAAGAACCTTCAGGCTGGGTTTATTAAAAATAGACTTTTCTTTGTGGAGTATTCCACTTCTCTTTCTTTCTTTCCTGTTTTTTTCCTCTCCAAAATATGGAGTTTCTTCCCAAGACTTAGGCCAATGATCAAAACTCATAATCTGCAATTAAAATATTATTCAAACCATGTATCCCCTTTTTTTTAAATTCTTTTTTTTTCCCCTTTTTTTTGTGAATAAGCTAGTCTCTTGTTAGCAATTGTTCATCCCTTACTGGATTTTTCAGACGAAGTCTAGCTTTTTTTAAAGGTGGAGAAATTATTCAATCCAATATACAATGATAATATTATGTAAAATGATGTTTAAGATATTTTTAAATATATGTCGTTTTAGGATTTATAAAATTTTTCAAAATATAGTAGTATGTCATTTCACAAAATTGATACAATTTTTAATTTATTTTTCAATGTTACCTTTGCACTGGGGAATGAAATAATATTTAAAATAAGATTGTATTAATTGGTGATAAGTTGTGTGCATAATAAATAAAGATAATTTTATATTTTAAATATATTATTTAATATTTTATTATTATTGACGAAATTGTTAGAAAAATATATATATTTTGAAATGGAAAGATTACAATTTAATGTTATTATTCAATAGTATTGCATGAAATGACATGTTATCAAAACTTGATGAAGTAAAGCGTAAAATTATATCACCAACTACTTTTTCCTTGTGATGATTACAAAACCATGAAAATAATGATCACTGATCAGGATAACAATTCTGTTCAACATGAATAAGTAAAGACAAACATCATCATTATGGTGTCTAATAGTAACTACCAAATTGATGAGAAAATTCGTTAATCCAGATGATCATGATTTTTTGAGAGATCAAAAAAAGGTACATATAATGAGTCGAGCATTTTGACTATCAGCCTCCCATCTCATTTTCCTATTGTTCCTCCTTTTTTTAAAAAAAAATTAATGGTTAAAAGTATTAAATATTCCATTAGAAAAGACAACAGAGATACTACATAAATGTGAAATTATTAGGAACCCACCAGAGATGTTAAACCGGATTAACACACGTCACTATAATTTGTAAGTTATTACAGTGAGATAAACTATTCTTGATAATGTAAAGGTAAGAAGTTAGGGTGCGAAATTAGAAGTTTAATGATAAGTTTATCATAATAAGTTCCTTAGAGGTATTAATGGGTAAAGGTAAAGTCACCCTCCACTTTTGTTGGAGTGAGAAATTGAACTTTTTAACCTCCTCTTGTGAATAATAGTGATTTTACTATTGAAAACCAACACGGAGGTGGATAATTAACTCTATTAATTTTTATTTTTATTTTTTTTTTGAAAAAAAGATTGAATTATTATTACGAAATTTTGACAGCAGGATTGTAATATCTACTCTAATCAAAATAAAAGATAAAACAAACCAAAAGAAACATATATCTAATAAATAACTCATGTGAAGTATTCTTAAGTTTAAACTAAATTTTCGCTAATACAATTTTTTCTTAAGAAAAGAAATTAAAAAAAAAAAAAACAAAACAAAACAAAGGAATTTGGCAATAATGTTGATTTGAAAATCCTTGAAGAGGAGAAGGTGGCATGCCACCGATTTTTGGGTCAGCACAAAAAGTATGGGCCCAAAGTATATCCAAAAGGCTCTCTCTTTATGGGATTCTGGGAACAACAATTGTGCTCTCCACTACAAAGCCTGCCCTTCGTCTCCACTCAGTTTTTTAGGACTAATGCCACTGTTTTGTTTTTTTAAGTTACAAATGTCTATTCTTTTCACAAAAACCCACTCACTCTTTTTTGAGTATTTTTTTTTAATATTTCGATTCCCACTTTCTGAAACAGCATATGTGAATGAATAAATACTGTTTTATGGGCAAAAATTGGCCCATTTGTAAAGTGATATTCATTCTCTCCATAGAAAATATATTGGCCAGCAAGATTATGGTTATGGTGTGTAGGTTGAAAAAGAATAGCTCTTTTTGTAAAGGCTGAAAAAGATTAAAGATTCCCCCTTACCCACAACAACCCTTTGCAAGCTAGCTAGATACTCTTTATATCTTTATGTTTTATCTCCAAATTTTACATTCTTTTTTAACAAAGTGAGTGCTAAAGAATATGCATAAGACAGATATTTTTGACATTTTAGAAAGAATCTGTTAGTAAGATTAATTTATCTCAGTAGGATTACTCTTTTAGTGTTTAACGCCCATAATTAAATAAAGTGAACAAAGTATGAAATAAGCTTTCATACACAACTTATTTATTTATTATACTGGATACACTTCTTAAGTACTTTCTCCGTCCTATAATTATTGTCCAATTCAAGTTTTTATTTTTAGTTCAAAATATACTAAAAGTGAAATCTTAAGTGCTTGTACTTCTGCTTACTCGCTAATTTAATAAGAGAGGGGGAAAAAAACTTATACAATGATATATTTTAGCAAAAAAAATGATTCATGAAACCGAACTCAAAACCGATGGGAAGTGACATGGAAAAAAAACTGGCTAAGAGTTGGAATCGATTTAGCATTATGTATGATGGGGTACCAAAATAGCACGTTTCTCTAGTGATATGCTAACAAAGGCTGCCATATCCAGTTGGACGTACACTTGGATTTAGTGTTTGAAATTTTGAACGATATTAACAAACTTTTTATAAGAATACATAATCACGCCTTAGTCGTAGTCATTCTTTTTTGTTGGTACGTTCTCTTGATGTAAGAGCCCAGAATGTACTAGGGTTTTGTGCAGATTGTGAATGAACCAATGGATCCTTAAGCCTATATACATATCCTTTAACAAAAAGTAGTAGTAGTATGGTACATATATTACTTAATTAAATGATTCGTTCATTCCTTTTGCACAAAGCACAATTGCCTCGATCCGTAACAATCGTTTGTTCAGAAGAAAAAGTGAAACTCATCGGAGACTCATTATTAACTGAGGATTGTTACAATGACGAGTTAAGGGGAAGGTATGAATATTATTGGAACTTCAAATTTAAATCCTAGACTAGCTATCCTGAAGCCGTGCTTACACGGTGTTATTATTCTGGCCTGTATAAAAAGTACATGTCAAACTATTAGAAATCAAAAATTGAGTTTCAGTTTTCGCCACAGCTAGCATCTCAATATAGCCTAGTGAATTCACACATTAAGTTGTATCAGTGTGGAAAGTGAAACCAAAATTTGTTCTTCAAATTACACCTTTTAATTTAACAATGAGTAGAAATAATTCAAAATTAAACAAGACCTATCCTTTGACACAATATCTCCACTCTAAGGGGGAAAAAAAAAGAAACAAAACTAATTTGAAGTTAATATTGTATCCCAAAAAAAAGATTTCTTAAAATTATAGACAAATATCTCCTTTACTCGATTTTATGTATGATATACAAAATTGAGGTTCTTATTGGATTGTCAAGAAGTAAAAAAGATTTGAATTGGTTGCTGAAAGTTACAATAATTTATCATATATTCTATTCATATATGTCCTATCTCCATTGAGAAATTAAACGGACATTTAAAAAATCCAATCCCTTCAAACTGAAAATACCAACTTGATAAAAAAAAAAAAAAACAGAATCGATCCTGAAAATTCTAAACCGGTTTTAAAAATCATGAATGGTGAAAACCCTGAACTGGTGAAAAGTTTGAACCGGTGAAAACTCTAAAATAGTCTTGCCTAAACTTTTCTTGATTAATGAAAATATGTCTCCACATATTAGAAAGACATTCAGCGTATGTATGGAAAACAAATAGAACTTAAAATAGTTGAACGACATATACACTATTTTTTATACATAGATTCTGATAAAATTTTGAACTCCAAAAATACTAATAATGTATCTTAATGGAAAGATCTCAGTGCGTAAATTAATTTGATACATAGCATTTTTTTTCTAATTATTTATATATTGAAAGATATGACTGTTTGAAAAAAAAAATTGGAAAAAAGTCGAAAAGAATAAAACAAAAATTAAATTGAGGAGTTCAGCTTCGTTGAAATTCACTCTCCCTAACATGTGTGTATTACATATACCCACTAGGGAACAAATTTTGATGTGACAACACACGTAAAATGACGCAAAAACCTTGAGGTACTACTGGTATTTACAGTCAAAATCGGATCAAACATTTATGAGATACTGCTACAGTTAAGGACATCCACAGTCATTTGTATAAAACTGACTAAAAAGTCCATAACTTCCCGTTATTTACCTCTCTGACCAGCCCATTCTCGTTGTAGTTATTGCTACAGTTAAGAGCATCCACGGTCATTTTCACCTATAACACACGCTAACTCACCTTTTTCGTCATACACAACTGAGCCTTTATATTATAGGTTAACAATGGCACATTTTACTACAATGTTCTAGTTGTTTTTTTCTAAATAATTTTTTTTTCCATAAGCACGAACAGTAGACTGTAGGCATATCTTTTTTTTTTTGGTAAAATGCAAATATATTGATGATTAAACTTTAAGGTACGTATTTACAATCAAAAACTCCACTATTACAGCAAACTACTCCGGTATTTACACCATTTTCACTCTATTGCCAAAAGAAACTAGATAATAACTCTCTTTCTTTTACTGACTTTTTCTCAAACATAATTCCATGCGCCATTGACTTTCCTTTTGAATCATCAACAGCAGCAAGGAAGTAGTTCTCTGTTTCCCGTCAAACGTTCTCAGATTCCGCTCCC